TAAGGAAATCAGCTCAGCCTTGAGCTTTTAGGTTATATCTCCACTAGCTTTGCTAATAGAGGGAGGGTTGCATGGCACCAGCACTGGAACACCATCTTCCCTCCTTAAACAGTTAGCACAGACCTTGGCATGGTTTTTGCTTGGGCAATCTAAGTTGACCAGGCAATTCCTGTGAAGTCTGGAAGTTAGCCTTGTCCAGGGATAATATTGATAGTTGTGGTGGGTGAGGAATTCTTTCTCCTCTGGCATCACCACTTATGGTGCCTCAGCACTAATTACTGCAGAGACAGGTTTGCCTTGCACTGTGCACCTCAAACACACGCTGTCCCTAAGCCTGTCCTTTGAAACGCGCGTGTCACTGTAATAACATGATCAAGAACATGAGGATTTTGTCTCTTCCTTTTTGATGAATGTGTGCAAAGCCACTGGATTTGGGAAGCTGTTTATTACGTGTGGGTTTGGGTTTTTTTTTTTTTTTTTTGTAGTTATATGGGCCTGGTTGCACGTGCAGGTTCCACTTCTGCTTGCTAAGGCTTATTTACAGAAAGCTGTAAATTAGGACTGGATAATAACCCATTCCTGTTCATTCAGTGGTATCCCTGAAGGATTTGCATGCCCAGGCAGAATAAGATGTGCACAAGGAATTTCCAACTGTCATTCCCCTAGCACCATTCCTGTGACATGACTCATTCATGGACGTAAGCCTGAAGAAAGTCAGGGAGATGTTTCTCCAGATGAGATCAGTGGACATCAGGCTCCAAATCCCTTTGGAATTCAGGTCTTTCAGACATTTCCCATCAAAAAGCATCAAGGGAATCATGCACTTAATCACCACATCAGTTTATTGAACACGACTTCTCCTCGGTTCCCCAATAGACTTGGTTGTGCTCCTGCCATGTGTTGCTGGAAGGACTGTGGATCTTTCTTACTAGCCAAATATCTTCATGCCAATAACTGCATCTCCCAAAGCTCAACCTATAACTGCAGACATTCCTCCCAAGAGGCACCAATCTCTTTCCAACTCATTATTGTCAAATTGGAGGAAACTGTAATAACTGCGTGCATTCACCCAGCTCTTTAGGATTTTGTGGAGCATAACGGATGCTAAGTAATTAAACTTCCCTGTTCCCTTAAGGGAAAAATTATCATTCCTGTACAGCAGACATGTTAACCAGCACTCGCTGAGGTTAAGGGACTTGTCAAAGGGTATGTAGTGATTTGGGGGCAGAAGCAAGACTGTAATTGTCCCTGACTCACTTCATGGGTAATTATTGTCTGCCACTAACATAACTCAGCTGTAATGCTAGGAAGGGGATCTCCAAACATATGTAGTCCCCACACCTGATTTTTAGTATTCACCAATTCTGTAAAAGTCATTTTGCTGGCTGAAATTGATAAAAAAACAGGCAAATCTATCTGAATTGTTCTCTCAGTTTCGAATATCATAGTTCTTTCTTTGACAAAAAGTAGCATTTCAGAAAAAAAACTCATAAAATTTTCTTTTTTTCTGAAAAGTATCTCTCTCTGATCCTGTTTTGTTTTGCTTAATTGAAAGCAGTAATCTATCAGTCATATGTATTTATTGCAACCTCATTATTTTTATTCAGTAAGAAGAAAATTGTTCACCAACTAATGTCAAAGTTCTTCAGCAGGCTTCATAATACTTTCAATATGTTTTAATAATCGTGGAGGAATATTCTTAAAAACAATGAAATGAGAAGGACACATTTCTGTTTGGAAATGCTGCAAAATGACAGTAAGGTGGAAATCTCAAAATTTCCTCACTGTCTGGTGTTGCGTCCACTGAGCTCTGCCCAGACTGGGAAAGGACTGTGCGATGGAAACCTCATCTCTTTCCAGCTCTATTACTGTTACACTCAGTTTCTAAACACTATCAAGTAGCAAAGTTAGGTTCAATATTTTTAAGCTCCCCCAAAATATTTCCTGTTCAGGTTGGATCATAGAATCACAGAATGCTGAAGGTTGGAAGGGACCTCTAGAGATCATCTAGTCCAACCCCCCTGCACACGCAGGGTCACCTAGAGCACGTGGCACAGGACTGCGTCCAAGCGGGTTTGGAAGATCTCCAGAGAAGGAGACTCCACAACCTCTCTGGGCAGCCTGTTCCAGGGCTCTG